TCACAAAAATTTCAACTTTATTCAACGGATAAAAATATATTATTTCCGTCTACAATCGTGATCTTGTTATCGACTAAGTATCACCAGTCGTATTAAAAGCAAGTGGGTACACTGTTCAGACACTTGTCACTTGCCGCTTCGAACATTATTTTTGGGGAGAGCCTCCACAGATGCAGTTTGTTTATTTCTCTGGTGAAACCCACACTATGATACAACAATACGTTCAATAATCCCGGATTCCATCCCGATACCATGCTCAGTACCAAGACTATTGACAAATTGCAAAAACTTGAAGTTTCACACATTGCAATAGCATAAAACAATAATTGTGGAATTGTTAGATTTTAATTAATGAAGACTACGTATATGTCCTTGCACGTTATAATTGTTGTCTGGAGATGAAGAACGCCGCTGACATGTCTGAAACACCCCCATCTTAATGACGTGACTACACATGTGTACTTAGGATTTCGACCCGATAAAACCATTACCCAGTCAGACATGTACATCCTAGGAGAAGACACAGACAGTAATAAGCAGCTAATTACCCCATAAATTACCTGGGATTAGCAATTTTTGATCAAAAGAAGACCAGCTAAGTCCACAGTGAAGGCGCCAAGACTCCGGGCAATCGGGGCAGACACGGTTGTGTGGTAGAGTTTGTTATTAGACATATGAACTACCATGAAATTGTAAGAAACGGCAAACGTGAAAATAAAAATGTTTCTGGAGATGAAATAGCTGTTTTAGCCACACAACGCTTGTTGATAAAGCGTACACTTATTTCTTGAATGAAGAACTATCTACAATTAACTGCGGGTATATCGAACTCCAACGGATCCTGACAATAAGTTCGTAATATCCGAGATTGTTAATTTATTAGCAGTGGGTTCATTACATCCGAAAACATATGATATCCGCCTTTGTTATTTACAGCTATATGCTATAACGACTTCGTTATATCCAGAGAATATGATATATCTAACTCATGTGTGATCTTTTCACACTGAGAGGTCCGAGGTCTATAGTGGATTAAGAACCTGCCCGGCAAGAGAATTTTGGTGGTTCGATCCCCGGTTGCGTCAAACCAAAATACGTTAAAACATGCTGATCGTTGTTTAGTATTACTGTTTAATTGCGCATGGTATCTGAGTGGGCTTGCACTATAAAATCGGCATTCGTCCGGACTAGTACAAACACAACCACACACTCGCACACATGCAATGCACGCACGCACGACGTTAAACCCATTTAATCACCTCAGCACACCTCTATTCATCCCCACCATCCAAATACATTAGACGTGAACCGATATAGGAACGTTATGTCGTGCTATACTTTCACGGTTCTAGTTGTATAGTTCTTCACTCTTGGAAAAAAATATCCGACAATGGAACCATTGAATTTACATAACAACATTTTAGGGAACAAATAATCGCGAGCATCCTTCATTTTGAGAGCACGTCTTAAGTGAAGGTACACGCGAGTTCGTATTATGTAATAAACAGAAAACAAGTCAAGGATAACTGAATTCTGTGTATGTTAAGAGTATCATGGATACAACGGATACTGAAGCTGAGTCTAATGGTGTGTAGAATCTCCCTCACAAAAGCTTGATGCGATAATAATATAATCAGGATCTCCTAGAATCCCTGCTTGAACAAACACGAGTCGAGGCACAACGCTGGTAAGGCCAGTAACGGCAGGAGTTTATTTAACATTAAGTTACCAACTTGTACGAGCCATGTGTAGTAGGAAAGCTTGTAAACTGCCGGCATTATCGTACATTATTGATGGCGATCTACTGGATACGACAGGGTTGTTGTGCCGTGGCTTTCAGTTGTATTCCTGAGCCCCAGAGTTCTGCCGCCTCAAACACGAATTCCACTGCTACCCTGCACCTGGGACTTTCAGATCAACGCATGAGACGATATTAAAAAATCTCAATTTGAAGCAAATTGTGCCAAACCAATAACAAGTTTCATTTTTTTAGATCTCGTCTTAAATTATTTTCAGCCTGAATTTCATATGAAGGACAGACCAAATGTCTCTTATCTTTGACAGATTTCCATTTTCATGCACTACAGTTCTAGTTCTCATATAGTTTCTCATACTACAGTCCCAGTTACGATGAGAGAACGAATTTGTCATACTGTATATATCTGTTTCCTTTAGGTAATAGCCATGTTTCACCCACACAGTCTCGCAAACAGATCTTCAAAACAAATATATCATATAAAGCCCATGCAAGTCTATAATAGTGGGCAAGTCTAGATTAGTATCAGGAAAATGAAGAGTCTCCAAGGCTCCTTTATATCATAGTTTTATTAGTATGATTTAATAACCCCTTTTCTGTAAGATATGTTCTTTTAAGAGACTAGATGTTAGTCTTGCACATGGTATCTATAGTTGCTCATACTGTATCCCATATTCCTCATAATCAACAGAGTGAAATGTATCTACAGTAACTATACTCCTCTACTCGGCATGAGATTCCTTTAACTTGCATGAACGAAGTCGATGCTGGTCCTGATCAAGTCTCTCACAGCAATTATCCAAACTGTATGTACGCGTAGGCTCCTAATTGTCACAGTCTAAATATTCATAAATAGGTCAGACAATATGCCACACAACGCCCGTCATTAAGTCACATGGCACTGAATGTCGTTTATAATTTACAACAGTCGTTGTACATGAGATGCATATAGGCCTATGACAACCATCATCGATTGTACGTTAATCACTTATCTCGCCATGTAGGTAGTGCGGGATGGCCGGGGAACACATGTTGCCGCTCTGTCATCAGTAATACAACACCACGAAATGGACATGCACAATATTACGAGCTACCATGGCCTTCTAATGGGGTAATGTAAACATGTGGTATTACATGGTATCGGTGATGTGGTGCATTTCACATGATATCAACAACCGTGTGTTTGAGGGAGAGGAGATCATTAAGATATGCATCAAATTTGGGGGTGGGATGAGTTGGTTGGGGAGGGTGACCGAGGAAGAATGAGAATGTGGGGAGAAGAGTTGGTGAGGTATGGGGGAGATTGAGGATGGGGATGAGAAATAAGAAGGGGATGGGGACAGAGAGGAGGACGAAGGATGGAGGAGAGGGGGATTGTTAGGAGAGAAAGAGGAGATACGTGCAAAATGGAAGCATGAAAAGAAAGAGAGAGAGAGAGAGGGTGAGCGTCAAAACCCTTATAAATACATTATAAAAAATATGAAAGCAGAGAGAGAGAGAGAGAGAGAGAGAGAGAGAGAGAGAGAGAGAGAGAGCGTCAAAACCCTATAAGTTATAAATACATATTATAAAAAATATGAAAGCAGTACACAGAGAGACAGAGAGGGGGGGGGGGGGGGGGGGGGCGGCGGGGGGCTGGGGGGAGAGAGTTGATGCAACGTGTAACTGTAGCCAAGAACCCAGCTGTAAACAACCGTTTCGTTCATACTCAACCTCAAACATTATCTGGAACAAAGTCATATGATATCACTTAGGATAACATGGGGAATATGAGTGCGATATGTCAGCAATGACGAATATGACAGTTATGCGTCGTGCCTACCCCCCTCTCCTAACCCTCCCCGTCTCCTTAGCACACATCCCCTCCCCCCAAGCATCCTTGAGAGGCTGCATACCATACCCGCACGTGTTTTGTAACCCGATATTACACCAGTTGTTTCATGGGGGGAGACACACTAGCACACACACACACACGTGCTATCTACAGTCATCTCGTCAAGGATGGTCCGCTAATGTCGGGCGTTCCCTCTCTTCATCCAACCTTCCTGCTTAGTCGCTATTGATTTCTGTCCATCGGATGAGCGAATTAGTTCTTCGAGAACATCACTGGGTATCTTTTATGAAAGTACTGTTTTTAATGGGCCCATGGACACTGATCGACAGCCCCTCAAGAGGCTCTACATTGAGGTATAGGTGATACCTTATAAGAATAAGGATGCTAACAGAGGACCCAAATCATTTTATAGCCCACCAAGCGTCATAAGGATACATATCTTTAGGAAGGTTTGCTTGATCAGTAAATATCTTAAGGTGGTGTTAATGGTTTTATGTTCAATAGAATACTCTTGCATGGCAGGTTGAATAGTTACGTCATACTGCACTGCAACACATACGATGACATCATCACCAATATCCGTTTTAAAGAATTAATTTACGACTTTCACCAATACTCTTATTAAGTTGGGTCTCGACGATAGTAAATACAGCTGTTTACCCTACCCTAAAATGAAACTTGTCACATATCTAACAATAAATTGGTCGTTAGCTCACGCCACAACTTTCAGTGCTTTGGCAGGCTACATGCGAATTTGTGCATCGTAGGATTGTAGCGATAAGATCAAAACAAACACCGGTCGCGGGAGTTTCGGAATGCACAAATGGTTAATATTTTATTAAGCCCTGCGGTTTGTTTACATCGACTAGGGACGTGATTACTACCTGGTTGAAATGCAAAGATAATTAAACCTTGGGAACAGACTCAATTACGACATGTCACTCTGTCACAATTGTCAAATGTACATTTAGTGGTTTTCCTGTATGATTCCTGTGTGTTTATTACAAGCTGAAACACTGTATCGATTAGTGTAATCTCATGTAAGTGTGTAATTAGATATGAGAGACTAAAATTACAATGGCCTACATATGAAACATCAGCTCAATAGATCAACGACAGTAAGTGCAAGTTTTAAGCTGATAGTTGTTCAATAAACTTTGTCGATGGTTGACAATCATATACATCGGTATGGTATATCTCATCACAGAATTCACGCAATCTTCTTTTCAGTTGTAAAATTGAAACAGTTAGACTAATAGTTTGTTGCTGTTGTTTTACAGGTTAAAGAGAATACCATGTAACCAAATAGAGAGATTGGGACGATATTGTTACCATCTAAGAATCACTTTGCTATCAGGGGTGTGTACAGGGCCCAGGAGAGATGGAGGAAGTGATGAAGATTGTACTCACGTCTCGTTTCAACAGTTTTGCCGTCTGCCACAAGTCGCGAAACTTCAACTCGACAGATTCGCCAGAGTCCCGAGAAAGCTTGTACAAGGTACCTGCGGCTTGCGTTGCGATACACACCTCCAGGTATTGACAGAACTAGCCAGTTATTAGTACAAATTGCCACAATTTGAAATAGCAAACCTACAACAGTACACACAGTGGCCACGATGAGTGCTCGACGTTCGAACGAGGGCTGCGCCGCCATTTTGAAGGATCCTCAGCGTAAACCGATCTGGTAGCAGACGACAAAGGATTTGTCTGCTCGGTACGTCCGCACAGAGGCACGGCTAGGCCAGAATTGGTAGGAAGCACGCTGTGTTGATGTAGAGGCCAGTTAGGTTCCTCGGCTGTCCGTGACAGTCAGCCATTTAAAACTTATAATTCATGATTTTTCAAAATATGTCAGTTCTTGCTAAGCACCAAGCTTGGTTTTCATCGGAAGTCAATGCTAGGATTCCTGGTACGGTCGGGAGAGTGCATGGTCGCGCTTGTGTTTACTGGGCATCGATCGAAATCGTCCACCGGAAATACGCTGCCCGATTTGCTTCACGTGAGCATGTGGAGGCCAAATTCCTTCATTCTCCAAGCGGGTAACATCTTTGCATCCTAACTGACCAGATGTGGTGACATAACGGCATGTGGAGAAGAATCAAACGCTGACCGGCCCAGTTCTCGAAACGGCCATATGTGTTCAGGTATACACCATTTAAAGCTATCGATCTGCACCACTAAGCCCTGTGTACATACGCTGATACCTATCCGTGGGATGGACATACGTTAGGGATAAACTGAGGAGGCGTTTTTATAGCCGAGTCAGTCCTATATAATAGTTGTGTTAAACATTAATGAATCATATTGTTCGTGTGTGTGTTGATTGACAATACTGACAGATTTTGGTTATGATAACTGTTGCTGATTATGTAGTTCCGGTTAATAAATGAAATAATGGCATCATGGTCGGATATATGTATAATTATGTTTAGAATGGATGAACATGTTGAAGTTAATTTAATTTATCAAGTGAGTGATTTTTTTGTACGTCGCTTTTACCACTATCACGGTGTCTATATATGTACCAGTGCGGAGAATTGATCTTTTGTTTGGCGTGGAGAGCCAACGCATTAACCACTCGCCTAACCAAACGTCTGTTTATTTTGATATTTTTTCATTAAATCGACTTGTCACTTTTTTTTAACCGCCTAACGTTGATACATAGTTACTGTCATCACACCACGTGTGACTCCGAAACCACACGACGGCCAAATGCAGGGAATGTGTGAATGTTGTGTTACAGTTACGGTTGGGTAGCTGAGTGGTTAAATCGTTCGCTTGTCACGCCGAAGACCGGGGTTCGATTCCACATGGATACAATGTGTGAAGCCCATTTCTGGTGTCCCCGGCCATAATATTGGTGGAATATTAAGCGGCGTAAAACCATACTCATTCACTATTACAACCCCAATCTGTACTATTAAGCTATTTTTCGCGCCCAATAAAGTATTAAATTTGGACCAGGTAAACCATTGTTTGGCAGCATGGTGAACGTACGACACCGTCGGGTGCGATGATTTGCAATCAGTTCAGAGATCCTGGCCAAGTGATGTTGGTCTCCAAACGTAGTTGGAAACTGGGTACATGGCGGACTGTTTTACTTTTTTTTCAATGCGTATCATCTCAACGCGACGACGTGAAAGGTGCTTTTGCTATCAATCTCTGGTTTGCGGGTCACATTGTCGATTATTTACAGGCTGTCGACATAGAGCTTTATAATGCAGATTGTTGGGTAAAACAGCATCAACTCATTCACTGTGGTCGTGATCGTGATGTCGGAAACGGCTGTGCTGTAATGACGGTAACCATATATCAACGTGGGTGATATCAGACGGTTGCGAAATGTTAGTTGCAAGCTGTCATTTTAATAATATATGTTACAGTATTGATTTTAAATGGCAGTATTAACCCGCACGCTCATCTGGTAATTATGAACACGGTTAATTCAGTGGATGATTGTAATGTGTTGTGTGTGTTCAACAAAGATGTAGTTCTTCGGGAGGAGAGAGAGCTCGTCTTCATCCAACACAGAGAGCGCTCCTATTTAACCCAACACAGAGAGGGTTCATACTTAACCACAAACAGAGAGAGTTCATACTTATCCCAACACAGAGATAGTTCATACTTAATCAAACGCAGAGAGCTCGCACATAACCCAAATCAGAGAGAGTCCTTACTTAACTCAACACAGAGAGCTCGAACTTAACTCAACAAAGAGGGAGTTCATACGTAACCTAAAGCAGGAAGAGTTCATACTGAACACAACACAGAGAGAGTTCATAATTAACCCAACACAGAGAGAGTTCATATGTAACCCAACACAGAGAGTGTTCATATGTAACCCAACACACAGAGAGTTAATACTTAACCCAACACAGAGATAGTTCATACATAACCCAACACAGAGAGAGTTCATATGTAACCCAACACAGTGAGAGTTCATACTTAACCCAAAACAGAGAGTTCATACTTAACCCAACACACAGAGAGAGAGAGAGAGAGAGAGAGAGAGAGAGAGAGAGAGAGAGAGAGAGAGAGAGAGAGAGAGAGTTCATACTTAACCCAACACAGAGGGTGTTCATATTTAACACAGAGAGAGAGAGAGAGAGAGAGAGTTCATGCTTAATATCCAAACACAGACGGCGTTCATACTTAGAGGGAGAGCTCGTCATCATCCAACACAGAGAGCGCTCCTATTTAACCCAACACAGAGAGAGTTCATACGTAACCCAAAACAGAGAGAGTTCATACTTAACCACAAACAGAGAGAGTTCATACTTATCCCAACACAGAGATAGTTCATACTTAATCCAACGCAGAGAGCTCGCACATAACCCAAATCAGAGAGAGTCCATACTTAACTCAATACAGAGAGCTCGAACTTAACTCAACAAAGAGGGAGTTCATACGTAACCTAAAGCAGGAAGATTTCATACTGAACACAACACACAGAGAGTTCATAATTAACCCAACACAGAGAGAGTTCATATGTAACCCAACACAGAGAGTGTTCATATGTAACCCAACACACAGAGAGTTAATACTTAACCCAACACAGAGATAGTTCATACATAACCCAACACAGAGAGAGTTCATATGTAACCCAACACAGTGAGAGTTCATACTTAACCCAACACAGAGGGAGTTCATACTTAACCCAAAACAGAGAGTTCATACTTAACTCAACACAGAGAGAGAGAGAGAGAGAGAGAGAGAGAGAGAGAAAGAGAGAGAGAGAGAGAGAGAGAGTTCATACTTAACCCAACACAGAGGGTGTTCATATTTAACACAGAGAGAGAGAGAGAGAGAGTTCATGCTTATCCAAACACAGACGGCGTTCATACTTAGACGGAGAGCTCGTCATCATCCAACACAGAGAGCGCCCCTATTTAACCCAACACAGAGAGAGTTCATACGTAACCCAAAACAGAGAGAGTTCATGCTTATCCCAACACAGAGAGAGTTCGTACTTAACCCAACAGAGAGAGAGTTCATGCTTATCCCAACACAGAGTGAGTTCATAATACTTAACCCAACACAGAGAGAGTCCATACTTAACTCAACACAGCGAGCTCGAACTTAACCCCAACAAAGAGGGAGTTCATACTTAACCTAAAGCAGGGAGAGTTCATACTCAACACAACACAGAGAGAGTTCATACATAACCCAACACAGAGGAACATACGTAACTCAACAAAGAGGCAGTTCATACTTAACCCGACACAGACGGAGTTCATACTTAACCCAAAACAGAGATAGTTCATACTCAACCAAACACAGAGAGAGAGAGCGAGAGAGAGAGAGAGCGAGAGATTGAGAGAGAGAGAGAGAGAGAGAGAGAGAGAGAGAGAGAGAGAGAGAGAGAGACAGAGAGACAGAGAGAGTTCATACTTAACCCAACACAGAGATAGTTCATACATAACCCAACACAGAGAGAGTTCAGATGTAATCCAACACAGTGAGAGTTCATACTTAACCCAACACAGAGGGAGTTCATACTTAACCCAAAACAGAGAGTTCATACTTAACCCAACACACAGAGAGAGAGAGAGTTCATGCTTATCCCAACACAGACGGCGTTCATACTTAGTGGGAGAGCTCGTCTTCATCCAACACAGAGAGCGCTCCTATTTAACCCAACACAGAGAGAGTTCATACGTCACCCCAAACAGAGAGAGTTCATGCTTATCCCAACACAGAGAGAGTTCATAATACTTAATCCAACACAGAGAGAGTTCATACTTAACCCAACACAGAGAGTACATATTTAACCCAACACAGAGGGAGTTCATGCTTATCCCTACACAGACGGCGTTCATACTTAAACCAAAGCAGAGAGAGTTCATACTTAACCCCAAACAGAGAGAGTTTATGCTTATCCCTACTCAGACTGCGTTCATACGTAAACCAAAGTAGAGAGAGTACTTAACCCCAAACAGAGAGAGTTCATACTTAAAAGAACACACAGGGAGCTCGTACTTACCTATAACTACACGGAGATCGTACTTAACCCAACGTACAGAGAGCCCGTACTTAACCCAACGTACAGAGAGCCCGTACTTAACCCAACGTACAGAGCGCTCGTACTTTGTCCTACGTATAGATAGATTGTAGGTAGCTTAACGTACAGAGCGGAACGTAACTCTACGTACAAATATCATACTTAGCTCTACGCTCCAGCTGAGAGCAAGAGAATCTCTATAAATGTTTTGCTGACGGTCAAGGTCAATGAAGAATTATAAAGTAGGTTCAATTAGGTTTATTCGTATGTAACAATAACTGCTGCTAACCAACTCATAAGAAATGTGGCCATTACAATCTCGCACAGACACAAGAGTATAATGATAGTTTTTGAAACAATAAAAGAATCATTATCAGGTCCAGCGTCCCGCTCGCAGCCCCCTTTTCAGCTCACTCTCGTTTCAGCTCTAGCAACGGTAACCTCCCAAAACCCCTACATCCCATTTCCCCTACAGCTTAAGACAACAAAGTTCACGGTCCATGGCACTGCTAATCCCTAGTCTGTTACCTATTTCATACAATGGAACAACCCAAGAAACACGAATAGATTGAGAAATTCATAATACATTATAATAAATTTCATCTCAAATGGGATCTTGTTCTTGGGGAGTAGGGGTAGGCCAGCTGCTCTTCTTGCAGACTTCAGGATCTTCTCATCATACAGGCATCTTTCATTACACTTACAATAATTTTTTTTTTTTAAACTTTCCTTTAAGTCCCCTTATCCCCTAAAGCTCTACCCCTTTCATTTCTACTACCTCTACTCCAGACCTTAATCTCTCCTTTAGGTGAGTTCATAATGCCAGACAGGTAAATACCGCGTGTTGTTTTAACTAATTGTAGGGAAACTGGGTTGTAGGGGAAATGGGATGTAGGGGTTTTGGGAGATAACCCTAGCAACCCCTTATAACTCTCATTTTAGCTAAACAACCACTTTTCAGCCCCAGCAGCTATGTCTGCCCATTCTCACCCCTTTTGTAGATCCAACAACCCATTATCATCCCTTTTCAACTCTAGCATCCCCTTTTTCAGCCCTAGCAACCAATCATCACCCCTTGTGTTTAATATAAGGTTACTAGGCAAAGCATCGATTTTCCATATGGGTTCAATGTGTGAAACCCAATTCTGGAATATCCGATACAA